TTTCTCATTTAAGGTCTATGGGCAAAAACGGAACATACCAGAAGAATCAGCTCGTCGAGCTCTACAAACTGGTACATATCCCATTTAAAACTGAGACTCACACTTGGAGATGTTCCCTCGTTAGTTTGTCTTAGTGAGTCACTTTTTTTCTTAACATGTAGCTGTTTCAATCGTTTTTTATTTGAGATATTTTATCACCATTCTGATCTCAAATCTAGACAAGTTTGTTTTTCTTCATAAATTGGTTTCATAATAGAATCTGCTGCCGCTGCCATATGTGATACCGTTCTGAAACGATACTCAGTGATGGTTAAATCATTCATAGCTAAACAAGTTGTATTATCTCCAACAGCATTATTATTTGAACAAGTATAGCTTTTAATTTATTTGATGACCAGTGTAAAGTGTCTAAACAAAGCGTATGGAGTCCAACAACAGCATATTGTCCTCACAATAGCAGTACGACATGTATGCATCTAAAACTGCTTAGGAATCGTATCAAGGAAATTGTACGTTGTGAAGAGAATATGTATATTTTTTTAACAAGCAAATCTATATAGATCTGTGAGAGAAATATATAAGAAGAGAAACCCACGATCCGTTCACAGTGATGTTTATAATGCAATCTATTTCGATCAACAGAAATGCATTGGCATTAATTAACGGTTTTTGTAAGAAAGTTGCGCCTTTCATATAAAAGTCATTGTAAACGAAAACATCACATCTTTAAAAAAATACGAATTTATAAATTAAGCAAAAACTTTATAAATGGTATCTATGATGACAATTTAATCTATTTAAGACCTTTGCTAATAGTCAAGAAAATAAAGAAAATAAACCCCTCGAGCTGTATCACAAAAAAACGTAAGTCTCACTTAAGTTAGACTTAAGTCTTCGTTATATTCACTTACGTGTTAATTGTATACACTTAAGGCTAGACTTTGACTTAAGCTTTTTCGTGATACGACCCCTTGGACGCAACAGAAGACCATCCCTTAATAGTGAACCATCCCCTACTAGAAGACGGGGTTAAGGTTTGTGAGTTGCAAGCGTATAGAGGACCATGATCTTTTATTTCTGCTGTATGTTTTGAAAAGAAATATTTCTTTTCAAAACTTGAATTCTTCTCAAACACTTTATAATGACTTGAAATATATCATTATATAATGATATATTTCAAGTCGAGAGAAAAAACTCAACAGGAAACCAGTAAAATCTGAAAACAGATGAGAAAGCTCTCAAATGCCAATGGATCTAAAAGATCTTTATTAGCATATAAAAGTCACTTTAGATAATTTCTAGCTCTGAACAGTAAGGGAAGAGTTAACCTCAATAGAAGCTCACCCTCAAAGTTTTAGCTTGCCGGACAAAATAAAGGACCACCTGATCTTCTATTGCGGGGATCGATTTATAACGAACGAGCGAGCACTTTTGTACAACTGATCAAGTTCAGATATATGTGAATAAAGTCATTTACGTCATTTGATAAGCATTCTAATAGTGTTCATATTATAGTTAACTTCATTCTGATCGTCATTCAAATATATTTTCTGGACAAAATGACAAGACTTATCGACGGAGTTGATTGCTGCCAAATCATATACAGGTAAATGACATTTGTGACAAATACGTTTGAGCGACATTAAATCAATAATCAAGATGTTTCAACATAAAGAAATTATATAAATATATAGTATCTTTTTCTGATGAAAAGGAGATGTACAAAGAAAGTTCAACTGAACTATTCTCTCGAAGAGTAAAGTTAATTCTGTTTTTCTACTGCCATAATATATTCTGTTAATTTGTTTTGTAATTGCACATTTTCAAGCTTAATTTTTTCAACTTGTTTTTTTAATTCATTTGCTTCGCGTTCTAAACGGTGAGCGTGTAATTCGATCTGATTTTGTTTTGTGCGACTGTTATCACGAGAACGCTTTGCTGCCTGATTATTTCGTAACCGTCTTTTCCAATATTTTTCATCTTTCAGTTCCTTGGGAACGAATTTCTGCAACAAATAAGAAACAACGAAAAGTTTAAATAGCATTATTTCCCTGTCTATTTCAAAATAGAATGCTCAGTTTTTCAGTAACATTTGATAGAAAGAAGACAGATTAATGATTTGCGGCATTTAGTACTCATAAGCTGAAGATACTAACCGTCATCTAGAGTTAGTGTAAGTCTTGAGATAATTCTATAGTTTTGCAGAAACTCGAGCCTTCCACATCGGAAAGGACTGCCTGGAACCAGTGAAAATGACTTGACTAGTAGCGTTAAAAAGAAGATTTAAAAGTCTTGCGGAAACTGATTTTAGAAATAAAAGCGATGGTATGTGCAAATCTTACAGATCACTCAACAGCAATCCGGATGACACAAAAATTCTAGTATTTATTCATTTGTGTTTACTAAATATGATAGTCTCGTATGATCACTAGGAAATGTATGTTCTAATTGCTTTTGACGTTATTAGTCAAAACCAGCGGTCGCAGGACAGTCATTTTCGATGGAAGACTCGGATTTCTACAAAAATATAGAATTATCTCATACTTGCAGATGGCGGTTTGAATCTAAGATTTATCGTTAGTATCCTCAACTCATGAGTACTAAATGCCGCAAATCATTAATCTGTCTTCTTTCTGTCAAACGTTACTGAAATACTGAGCAGACACATTCTATTTTGCAGTAGACAGTAATTATACTGTGATATTTTGATACCTGTTTGTTCTGTCTTCTCTTCTTTAACTTTGTGCCATCTGATGTAGCGGATGAAAACTGATCAGTTGTCTCGCAACCTTTGATAATAAAGCAGCAATTATACGGCGTACACTCTGATAGATCTTATTGTTTTTTAGCTTCAAAATAAATAAGTCAATACCTGCAACAGATAATGAACAGAACCAAAATGTTTGATTCTGTGCATTGCTGATACAAGATTGGTTTTATTTCTTGCTAGAACAATAATATCTTCACTTCAATATTTACTCCTATTGTATTTACAAATACAATAAGAACATTAGTAATTACTTGATGTTGATGGTGAATTAACAGCTGTACTTGTGTCTATTGCCAATAGATTCTCTTCATGAGATGATATTTCACTAGCGGGATCAAAAGTATTCAACGGTTCGAGATCTGAATCAGCATCACATAATAACTCATCGATTTCCATCATTAATGTTTTCATATGGTTGATGTCAACAGGATTATCAATTGGAGTAGGTGTACATGTTGATAACTGTTTCAACAAACTATCTGCCGAATATAACTCGTCTCTTTCCCATAATGTTGGACCCAAATAAGGAGAACCGTACACTTTTTCATTTGAGCAGAAATCAAGTGCCAAAATATCTTTATCTCCGTTCGCTATATAAAAACAAAGTATCTATGTTAAAATTTCAATATTATTTCCACGAAGTCAATATATAATGCCGGTATCGCTATGCATCTATCTCTCCTTTTCGTATAAGTAAATGTTTCAAAGTTTCCAAATTAGTCAACATATTTTTTTGAGATTGAGTTTAGTTCAAAATATCCGTCGTGGTACAATCTACCGGTAGAATTCACTAAATTTCGTTCTTCTCAGCATTAGGGAACGTTTCAAAATGTATTCCGGTAGGTCGCTATTCCTCTATTCTCCGACTATTCCTCTCTTATTCCTGTCATTCCTCTATTCCCCAATTATTCCTCTATTATAGAATTTAAATTCTAATTTATTTTATATTGTATAATTCAGTTTCTTTGATTGTATTGTTGATACATACATCGGCACATATATACTTCCAATGTGTTCGTTTTTTTAACAGACCCTTTTAGTCTTTGAGAAATATGAGTGTGAATATGGTTAATTATTGTTTAAAAAAGCAAGTTTTTCCGTGCGCGACTTCCAGAGACTTGTTTTGCTTGTCTCGAAACTTGCTTTTTTAAACAATAATTAACCATATTCACAGTCATATTTCTCAAAGACTAAAAGGGATCCTTTTCTAAAAAATAGACCAGCATAGTGT